CTGATAATTCCTCTATTTAATGTGAGTTTAACCAGCTCAAGCCGACTACTGCTGTCGAACTGAGCAAATTAATTACTAAAATGGCTAGGAAGTCGTGCCCTCTAGACCCGATTCCCTCTAACTTACTTTATAAGTTGTGCTTTTCTGATTTGGTACCAATCATAAAAAAGAAGATTGCTCCTTAGAAAGTGGTGAAGTTCCTCTGCCTATGAAAAGGGTTTTTTTTCTCTTCTTCTTAAAAAACCGTCCCTTAACACCGAGCTCTATCCAAGCTTCAGACCGGTATCGAACTTCATGCTTGTGTCCAAGGCGACAGAAAAAGTAGCGGCTACGCAACTCTAAGAATATTTATGTTCAAATGGATTAAAAGAGGAACTTCAGTCTGCTTATAAAGCTAATCATAGCTGTGAAACAGCTCTGATTCGAGTACAGGATGATATCCTCAAAACCATCGATAGTCATCGCGGTGTTTTGCTTTTGCTATTGGATCTTTCTGCAGCCTTTGATACGGTTGATCATAAAATTCTTCTAGGTAGACTCTCCTCTAGGCTCGGTATCAAAGGAAAAGCCCTGGATTGGCTAAGATCTTACATTACAGACCGTACTCAGCTTGTCAAAGTAGACGACGCTTCGTCCACGGTACGACCCCTTCATTGGGGTGTGCCTCAAGGTTCGGTCCTAGGCCCCATACTTTACTTATTGTATACAACTCCACTGGGTGATATTGTTCGTGAGCATGGCTTGCCGTTTCACTTTTATGCTGATGACTCGCAGCTTTATACATCTTTTACTTGCAATGACACCTCTGATCTAGTGGCTGCAAAACAACGTCTTGAGAACTGCGTTGCTGACATCAATTTGTGGATGACTGCCAACAAGTTAAAGCTTAACAATGATAAATCAGAATGTCTCTTTCTGCACTCCCGTTTTCGTCATTCGTTGCCCCCGCCCTCGATTTCTGTTGGCATGGAAAACATCAGGCCCTCTCAACAGGCTCGCAATCTTGGCGTGATTTTTGACGACACAATGTCACTTTCACCTCATGTTAATACAATAGTTAAGGGTGTCTTCTATCACATACGAAATATTTCTAAAATAAGAAAATACATCAGTACAAGTACCACAGAAATTCTAATTCACAGTTTTGTTAGCTCGAAGTTGGACTTTTGTAATTCTCTTCTTTTTTGGTGCCCAAAAACGGGACATAGCTAGGTTGCAGTCCGTTCAGAATGCGGCTGCTCGAATTATCGCCGGTCTCAAAAAACGAGATCACATCACCGAGACTCTAAGAGATCTTCACTGGCTTCCTGTTGAGGAGAGAATTGTTTTTAAAATAAATTTTAATAACTTTTAAAGCATTGAATGGCTCCGGTCCCCGATATCTTGAAGATATTTTAAAATTTTACCATCAAGCAAGGACATTAGCCAGTAGTTCCCTAGTAAATGCGGAACTTCTTGGTTTAAAATTGTACTTTTGAATACCGGTCGCTCGCAAAAGGCAACGACGGCCCCGACTATGGAACAAGCTCCCCTTTGAAATTCGAGCTTGTTCTGACGTTAATCTTTTTAAATCTAAGTTGAAAACGTTTCTTTTAAAAAAGGTATATGACATTTAGTTTCGTTATATTTGTTTTTGTTTTTGTTTTCTTTCCTTTTTAAGTTGTGTACAGTACGGTTATATGTAAGCTTGTGTTTATTGATATTGTTATGTCCTTTTTTACATTGTAAAGCGCTCAGAACAGCGATGTATAAGCGCTATATAAATTCCATTATTGTTATTATTATTATTATCATTATTATTATTATTATTATTATTATTAAGGACACAAAAGGACTAATAAGAACAGAAATGGACTAATAATGACATAAAAGGACGGAAAAGGACTAGTAGGGATACTAAAGGACTGGTAAGGACAGGAAAGGACTAATATGGACCTAAAAGGACTAGTAAGGACACAAAAGGACTAGTAAGGACAGAAAAGGACTAATAAGGACAGAAATGGACTAATGAGGACATAAAAGGACGGAAAAAGGACTAGTAGGGATACTAAAGGACTAGTAAGGACACAAAAGGACTAATATGGACCTAAAAGGACTAGTACGGACAGAAATTACTAGTTAGGACGGAAGAGGACGAATAAGTACATAAAAGGACATAAAATGGCACAAAGGACAAGCGAGGAGTAGAAAGTACAGTAAAGAGGAGTTTTGAGAAATGCGTACTACTTACAAGACGTTGTACACAATGTTCATTTAATTTATGTTGCACGACTATATGGTGTGCTAGCATGTAGTACTTACCAGGGCTGACCCAAAGGTTTAACTGGAGTTGACGTCTGTGGCAGTAGACCTGCACCGTTCTAAACCTCTTATTTCACCGGTCCCCTGTGATCTACGCCTGTGACCCTTTAAGGAAAATAAGTTTTTATCAATAATCACCATTCAAACGGAATTGCCTGTCTTTTGCCTGTCTTCGTGCAAGTGACATAAATATGACCATAAATGAAGCCCTGCCAGGCGGGGGGGGGAGTCCCATGTCGCCGCTGAATTTTAAAACGTTTCGTGTCGGTGTTTATAAATGCTTGTCGCTTATTGTCGGCTTTGGCTTTGCCTTAGACTGCTTGCAGTCCGCCTTTTCTCTTAAAATCTGTCTAGTTCTTACCTCATCCAGCGCGATAGCAAACAACGACGTTATTATTACAATAAGGGATTACGCACTCGTTTCTCGCGGCTCGCGGCTTTGCCGCTCGCGTACTTAGGTTTCGCGTGCAGTAACTTTGCAAAGAAAAGTAAGAGACTGCTCGCAGTCTAGCTTTGCCATCACTGTCGCAATTTGGCCGAGGGAGGTTGTCTCTTGTCGCGATTTCCTTTCACGCGCTGTCGCTTGTCGGAATTTACCCTGGCAGGGCCTAATAAATATGACTCATTGACAAAAATAATCTTTAACGGTTAAATCATCAGGCAAGAAAAGCAAGACTTACCTTCTCCGATATTCAAGAGACAACGAACGTGCCGCGAAATCGCTGTCACTAGAACATTCACATCCTGCCTCGAATTTCGCTGTAAGCCAAGACTGAAATATATTATTTTAGAGGAAAGTACGTTGAGGGTTTTTAAACAACTCTCTTTTGCACTGTTTCAGGTAAGAAATCGTGTTTTTGCGACCCGAGTTCCTTCGTTTACCGCCATGGCCGCCTCTGCCACTTGCAGCCGCCATCTTTTTTTACCCGGGTCAATCTTGAAATATTCTGCAGAATTTTTCAATTTTTGAGCTTCGGCCCGCACATGCACAGTTCATGAGATTGACTGATTCATTTTAAAGTTCTCAATATTTAAAATACGATAAAAGTAAAACTCCTGCCAAATATCTCAAAATTTTAATGAGTAGATTTTGAGAAATCGTCTTCTGTGTACCATTGCTTTTTTCGCCACCAAGTTTGTTTGTCTAATTAAAAACACACGCCGTCACACGAATTACCGCTGGCCACCCGCAAATCTGTGTTCAGCCACCTTAAATAAATAAATAATGCACGCGCCCAAAATTGAATTGCCTGCGCACACGTACCAATATACAACTGAAATAAAAATCCAAGTAATAAATAAGCAATGTAAGGATATGATGGTGCAATTTAAGCCTGGATTGCTAATCTCATCTCCCAAAGGGCTGCACCATTCTTCTCGACGATAAGACCATGGCGATTGACGAATTCATTAAATGAGTTGTGAAGTCGATTGGTTTCAAAGCCCTGTTGTCTGAGGCGTAATTAAAGTCCGCGGAGTCTATTTATGTCTGATTGGTCGATACCAGTCCACGTGACATAGAGTAAATTCAACATGGCGGCAAAGTCGTCTGTCGTGTGTTTATTCTGGGAGAAAGAAGAAAAACTGGAGCCCTCCTATACGGCATTTGTTTAAATGGCCTGGAATTTTTAGTATTCTCCTTTTCCTCTTGTTCCTGTGAGATTCGCTTTCTGCAATGTTTGCGTTTTGGTTTATCGGATGCGACTTTGAACTTACTTACTTTTCGGGCTATAATTAATATGTTTCCGCTTTTCGACGGCTTAATTCTGCACAAAAACACTAGATGCCTTGAGGTCATTATCTTCGTATTTAGCAATGTTATTACCGAATAACGGAGGAAAATGCTATCCTAGCAAAACAGACTGGCAAGACTTGAACGTCCCAAGGGGCGCACTTAATCATAAATGCATATTACACTATTGAACGCTTCAAAGTATTGCATTGGCTTATTACTTAATAATCCGACTGGTCCAAAGTTTTGCAGTTAGTTTTCTTTCCTTTTTATTCTTTAGTGTGTCAAGCTAGAACGACTTACACTGCAATAAAGTTACTTACTTACTTACTTTACTTGCGGGCAAATAAATTAAAATAACACGTCACCTTGCATGTAGAAGCGGAGAACATGTTGGTTGGAATATTCATGACTTTGTTTTGATTGCTCAAGTAATTAGCGTACATGCTGAACCGCTACAAAGAAGTAAAAAGCTCAGATCTTTCCATGAATACGATTTTTAAGATTTTTATTGATTTTATTTTACTCTTACCACACATAGGTACTTGAAATCCATAGTTTCTTACACACGTATCATCAGAACACTTTGCTAAGTTAGCTACACTTTGTTTGATTCAGGATCAAGTTCATCTTCTCTGAAAAAGTAAATAAATAAGTATATGTCAATATTTTACTGCCTTTTTATTGATTCAACAGTAAAAAGAAACTATACTTCATATACATTGTATGAACTTAATTCTTCGCTCAGCAACAACCTCTTCAAATATATACTGTAGTAAACCCATGCATTTATCAGGACTTGGTTATAAATTTGGGGTTAAAATAATAATTAAGCAATAAAAACCCCTGACAAAAAACCTGCATTTTTTCCCCGTAATGGAAATTAGCACAAATTTAGGCTATGTTGGTTCTTTTAAATAGTTTCCTAGAAAAATACATTGTACTGCTAAGAGTATTTAGTGGTGTTCAGCATATTCCTTATAAAACATCATCACACCATAAAATGGTAGTTGGAGTGATGAGTCACCTATGTCTCCAAAGAGGATCCTGAAAGTTGACTTATCTTAATTGCCCAAGTGTACTGAATGTTTTTATAGATTTTAGAAAATAATAACCTGTTTCAAATTTTAGCCTCAACAGCTTCTTGCATAGAGGGGCCTAGCTAGCTGACAAATGTTAGCCATACAGGTTCTTAGTCACAGGTTTTTACTATACAGGTAATTACAGTGAGTTTATAAAAATTAAATAAAAGCGTGTCTCAACATTTGTTAACCAACATAATTATGTGAGCTTGTTTTGAAAGCTCAACCTTGAAGTAGGAAACTGTATGTCATACTCCAAGTACTATTCATCAAGATGATCCAACTAAAAGTTTTAACAATTTTGTCAAAAACACCATTGACCAAAGAAAACAAATGTCAAATGTTACCCAAGCTACAAATTTCCGTAAGTTCATTTTTCTTTTTGAAGGGAGTGACTACCTTCAGAAAACTTGCCATATCTTTTACCCTTGAAAAGATGATTCCTTTGCAGCTGGTTATCTTTCACTTAACACGCCTAAATGTTTAGACAGGAAATTTAGAAACAGAGCTTGCCTGCTAGAGAAGCCATTCAAACGAAAGACACATTATCCACCCTCCCTCTAAGATGTTATTAGGGACCTTAAGATCCGACGACGGCGGCGGCAGCGAAAACGTCGCTCAAAAAGTGAATTCGAGTTCTATCAATCTTCATCGCGACTACTCCAAGTCACTAACTTTGTCAGATGTAGGTGAACCCTCACTAAAATTGAATTCTTAAGAACCATATTCAAGTTCAGAAATAGAGAGGAAATTTCGTCGTCGCTTGTGTACTTCCTCTGTAAAGCGTGAAATTAGGCATTTTCACGTCGTAGTCGCGCAGTGACGGCAAAGAAATGTACAAAAAATCATGATGCACGTGCAAAATTGTTGTTTTGGTTATTAAACCTAGTGCTTTTTTGACGTCTTCGTTGCCGTCGCCGTCGTCGGATCTTAAGGTCCCTATTAGCAAGCAGAGAGGTATTAAAACACAGAGAACCCAAACGTTTGTGATTGTTTTGGATGATTCCAAATCAAATTTTTAACAGAATACTTTAATCGGATCGTCGATCCTTTTAATTGCAAGCTTGACAGCCGTACACAGTGTCAACAGAAAATCTCTAGCATAGGTAACCTTGACATTAGTTGGTTCGATCAAAAGAAAAATTTTTCAGAACCAAAAGGATCTATTTTAGCATTTTACAAGACTCTCACCTTCTGTCCAAAGTACACAGTGCTATAACCTCAGGTTTAACATAAAAATGAATTGTTCGATTGGCACAAAATCGCGTCGAATTTTAATAGGCATCAAAAGTGGGACAGTACGCTTTTAATACAAAACTGCCGCTTCCCCTTGCCACTCGGTACAAGTTAATTTATATGCCAAAACAAAGTCAAAGAATATGGCTTTCCCCGCTTTATAATTTTCCGTTGTACCGAGAAGCAGGAAACTTAAACCAAGCGCAAACCTCTGCGATAAACTATGTATAGTTCAGATTTAGCAGTCAGAATATTTTTGTCTTGATCAATGAAAATGCAGCCGAAATGGTAAGCTACCTCTCTCCTGTAACTAGGTGCAAGCTAAATTAAATTTATCGCTGTGGCTATATGGCCGGTAACCGGTCAAGGTTTTCAAAATGGTTTTCTAAATGGCCGGCAGTTCTATATTCTGAGTAAATTTCACAAAATCGAAAGATTCCAGCTAATCTAAACTATCATATGTCGATTTAGAAAAGTCAAGCGATCCTAAAATGCTTTAGAGATCTCAAGTCTAGTGTTTGATTTGCGCTGGGCTCAGAGGAGGAAATCATGTTTTGTGACACTTGGAAATTTTTGAAGCTCGACTGCCGGTCAAGGTTTTCAAAATACTAAATGGTCGGCAGTTCTATATTCTTAGTAAATTTCACAAAATCGAAATATTCCAGCTAATGTAAACTATCATACGTCGATTTAGAAAAGTCAAGCGATCCTGAAATGCTTTACACTCTCAAGTCTAATGTTTCGTTTACGCTGAACCATGTTTTGTGACACTTTTCAGCTCGACTGCCGGTCAAGGTTTTCAAAACACTAAATGGCCGGCAGTCCGTTATTCTCAGTAAATTTCACAAAATCGAAAGGTTCCAGCTAATCTAAACTATCATAAGTCGATTAAGAAAAGTCAAGCGATCCTGAAATACTTTACAGATCTCAAGTCTAGTGTTTGATTTGCGCTGGGCTCAGAGGAGGAAATCATGTTTTGTGACACACGAACATCCAAAGACTCGCGACCAACAAAAATATGATATAGAAATCCCACAAAACCGGCTGGTTTGATNCTAAATGGCCGGCAGTTCTATATTCTGAGTAAATTTCACAAAATCGAAAGATTCCAGCTAATCTAAACTATCATATGTCGATTTAGAAAAGTCA